GGGAGTCATGGAAATTACAAGTTGAGATGGTCAAAAAATTATCATTTTTCACTGGAAAAAAATTCCCTGACAAGTAACACATCATCAAAATCAAAATGTTTTGTGGTAATGTATCAGCTTAGATGCAGATGTCTCAGTTTCAGAACTGAATTTCTGGTGAGGGTGATGCACACACATATATACACAGACCTGACCCACCTGAGGAGAGCCAATAGACTGGCAGTCATAACACTCATTTTAGAATATGGAAGACCCTGGTTCAAATTCCTGCTCCAGATCAGGCAAAATAGGGATTTGGACTTGGCTCTCTCATATCTCAGGGTGCATCTACACTGCACTGTTATTTTGAGATAACTAGCATTATTTCAAAATAACAATGTGAGCGTCTAGACAGCCATTCCATTATTTTGAAATAATTTTGAAATAACAGATGGCTTATTCCGAAATCTGTAAACCTTATTCTACAAGGAATAACACCTATTCTGAAATAGCTATTTCAAAATAAGGCATGTGTAGATGTTCAACTGTTGCTATTCTGAAATAGCCCCTCACCAGGGCCATTCTAAGTTAGTCCTCCCCATTGCCTCCTGGGCCTCTAAATCGAGATAGCACATTTACATAAGGGAAGCCTTTCTCGGACTAATTCTGAAGCTTCCCTGCAGTATAGACGTTCTATTTCGAAATAAGCTATTTTGGAATAATTATTCTGGAATATCTTATTTTGAAATTAGCATGCAGCGTAGATATACCCTCACGGAGTGAAACAGTCACCAGATATTGGCAATTTTCTCTTTCCCCCTTGTTCTTCTGTGAAAAAAATCTATCACCACCAAAAACTCATTTTCATTCCACATAAGAATTACAAAGATTTTTAAAATCTTAAATCTTTTTTGAAAATAAATTACTATTTTCCAACCTGCTGTACTTACATGCTTTGTTGGCATTATACTCATGAAATTTATGATTTTCAAGAAAAAACTCATGATTTTAAAAGACTCAGAAATATTTCACATATTCACAGCTAGAGATGGGTATTTGTTCTGAGCAATTTATTTGGTGAATGTAGGTCATTATCTGTTAGTTAATTGTCTATTAACAGATTATTATTATTTACTAATTACCTGACAACTTTTGTCAGCTTTTTGCTGATCATAACTGATCCCCTTATGATTCTTACAAGAGTTGGCCTGGGGTTCTTGCAAATTCTTGTGCCTAGGAATCCTGTAAATTTCCTTAGTATGCAAACATCACTTATATATTTTGGATTTAGGGCAAATACTTTACATTAACAACATGGTATGTTTTTTCTTCTTGTTCATTTATACAAAGCTTGCAGGTCTTGGTTGATCCAAGTGTTTTTTATGGTAAAAGGCGTGCACCATCACTTAAATTGATCCTCATGCCACATATAACAGCTTTCACTGATTCATAAGGGGAGGCAAAAATTGTCAATAGAGTCTGAACTCCATTGTGACTCTCCCAAAAAGGCCTTGGCAAAAATCAGTTTCTACACAATGGCCAGCTTTCTGTTCAACATATCATTAAAGTATAATGGAAATATATATCACAGGCTTCCAGAGACAAATATGTATATGAACAGCCTAATAAATACACATGAAATAATCTTTAAACTGGTCCACATAGCATGAAATGGCTATGTGGCTATTTGAGGACTTTGTTTGAAACTTGGGCAGACTTCACATTATTAAGCTTCATTTGCTCATTACTTAGCAAGTAATATTCTCTGCAACATGCAAGAAATGTGAAACCTCTTTCCACACTATCTGCAAAACCAGAATAAGATTGAATAAGGACATATGCTTCATATGTGACAATATAAAAATGAATATCATAGCACCATGTGACTTGAAGGGTATGTCTACACAGCAAAGTTATTTCGTAAAAATGGCTACTATTCTGAAATAATTATGCGAGTGTCTACACAGCCATTCCATTATTTCAAAATAATTTCAAAATAACGGGCAGCGTATTCCTACATCTGTAACTATTCTGGAATAGCTTATTTTGAAATTGATGTGCGGTATAGATGTAGCCAAAGGGACCTCTAGAGGTCATCAAACTCAGTTTGATAAAATCTGATTTCCTGAAATCCATTGTCTTTATTTTGCTGTTCTCCCTCCTACCATTCTTTAGAATCATGAACTCTACCATTTCATGATCATTTTCACCCAAGATTTCTTCCACTTTCAAATTCTCAACCAGTTTCTCCTTATTTGTCAAACTTAAATCTAGATAAGCACCCTCCTGAGAAGCTTTCTCCACCTTCTGAAATTAAGATTTGTTTCCAATGCATTCCAAAAACTTGTTGGATAATCTGTTCCCCACTGTGTTATTTTCCCAGCACATGAAAAGGTATTCCATGCAGACTTTTATATGCATTGAATTTGCTAGATATTGTTAATATAACCTATGTATTTGATCACTCAGAAACAAGGGAATTTAGCAACCTTTCGATTATAACACACATACACTGTACAGTACTACAGTGCCCTCTTGTGCTTCATAAATACACATTCAACAATGCGTACAGTATTAAGTGTTTATGTAGAAATAACGGAAAAAAATGTGGACTTCAAGAATTGTGCTCTCGGACTGAACATGTTCTCTTCTTTGAATTCATAAAAATTGGGAACATGGAAAAGAAAAACAAGGGCCCTCTTTGACAAGTAAAGATACTATACAATTATTACACTGTCCAATATATTGATATCACGCATGATCTACCTAATTCTCAACTATTTTAATCAAAGCTATACATTCTAAAAATACCCCGGTCAAGTTAACTAAAATAGATACATTCCTACACAGAGAAAAGCATCCTGCATCTACTCTCAAACATCCTTGATATTGGTTATCTGGCCTCCAACTAAGTCTCCTGTGGCAAGCAGCTGTGTTTGCTGTGCTTCCAACCTTGCCATGAAATGGGAGTTATGCTATAAATCTACAACTGCAACGTGAGCAGTGTGGGTGCCAGAGTTGTTTTTTAAACTGGAAGAAGAATTTGGTCTTTGCTACTTTCACAAGTATTATATTTGTCACATAATTATTTTTAACCAGTCATGGAGCCAGGATTTTTCACTTGGTTGCCCTTTTATACATTTCAAACCTTATTTTTACTTTCCATTTCCAAAACCAAAAGCCATTAATTAGGGTCTGAGATCTGTTCCACCTCTGTGAAATGATAATATTCTTCCTCACAAGCTTAACTACAATCAGTAAAGTGTAGAGGTAGGCGATACCAATTTCAATGTTGCCCTTGTATTATTTTATTTAATGAAGACCATCACACTATGTTATCAGTTTAATGATAACAGACATTCCTGGAATCACCCACACATTTGGCAACACAACTTGGCTTATTTTCAGAGGTATCAATCTGCATAAGTGAATAATTTTAAGATATACAGAATAGGGAATAATATTTCAAATAAAAAAGCTTACTACATATATGCTATAAATTAAACATTAATTATAATTATTTTAATATTAATTATTTTTGTGTGTTGAGGTAGGTGCTTTATTGTGTTAAGCACTATAAAAACACATAGTAAAGGATAGTCTTTGTCCCCAAGCACTTACAATCTAAAAAGACATGACCAAGGACAGAATGTGAAACAGAGGAACAGAGAAATGAAATGACTTGCTCATTTCAGGTGATTGGCGGAATTGAGAAATGAACTCTGGTGAAATCTTAGCACCACTGAAAACAGTGGATTTTGCTCCACAAATCCCGACTCCTATTCTATGTTACCATCATTTTAGTAACTGACTCACAAAGTATTGATTTTAAAAGTAGCTTGTGCCCTCATTTGCTTGTATATAACTTACAATGAAGAGCTAAAAAGGTATTTTGGGGTTTTTAAAACCTTCACATTATATTAGAAATATTAGAAAAGCAAAGCCTGTTCTTTCAGAGGTGTGTCAGAGATATGTATTTTGAATTCTCATGTGTTATTAGAAAGAGTGAGGGGATTATTCTTTAATAAAGATGTCCTTTTTACCAGATGTTTATTAGACATTGCTAAACGTGTCAATAAAGAAAAAAATATTTTAAAAAACTGATTAAACTCCTTCCCTTTTAATTCTACCTAATTCTCAGAAATGTCATTTGTTCTAATTCAAAGCTTATCTATTTTTCACACAAGTTTACTGTGCCCTTATTTCTGATGTTGAACAATTTTTACATCAGAACCATAGAATCATGAAACTGATATTAAAGAAAGAATTATTTACACTAGCAGAATGAATCCTTTTGCATTTGAAGTTTACTGAATAATTTTTATGTCCCTTATTTTGTCATGCTCATAATGAGTTCCACACTGGAGCATTTGAGAGGCATGATTGTTCAGTTTTTAATATCTACTTTCTTGCAAAGTTATACTTATAACAAGGTCAGAATGTCTATTATAAAGAAACAACAAGAATTCTGGCTTTTTTATTTGTGTAACTGGGAAGCACTTTTCAGGCCTTCTTTATACTTTATAAAAAGCAAGTATGGGGACAAACCCAATTTTTCTTACATAGCTGAATCTTAATATGCTTCCATTTAGAGTGTCAGAGTTTACAGACGCCTGTAGAAACTATAAGATCCATCCCATGTCAATTTCAGTTTGGCAATATCACAAATTGAAGGCATTCCATAATTTAAAAAATATATAAATATAAGTATTTGTATTTCAGCATCTCCAATAGCCTAATATCGGAATTTGGAATTACCATCGATATTGAATAACTGTTTGCAGGATCGTTGTACACTGATCCAATAAATTCACGTGGGACTCATGGTCCATATAGATATTTCATATGGGAGCTGTAGATCCAAAATGCTTTTCAAAGTGATAGTATTTTAAATATTAATTTTTCTATTTATTTGTATTATTTTAACCTAATTGAACAATTCCCAGAGAAAAAGATTCAAAACATCTTGTCAATGGGTAATTTACCTGATCCAATGGGCCTTGCTATTCTATATTACATACCATGTCTGCTTTTGAAGGTGAATACCTGAACAATACTTCTTTCTTCTCCTTCAACATCTTGGCACGCTGTCTCCATTCCTGAAGCACTTCTTTATCTCTAAAAAAAAATGTACATTAAAGGTTTAAAACTATATTTTAAAAAGTAAATGGTATTGCTTAGTTTTACCCAGTCAACCATTTTACAGTGAAATAAAGTGCTGATGGTTGGCACAAAATGCACTTTCTGTATTAGGGACGTCTGTGCGAAGCACTGACATTCAAATGGAAGATCAGCACTTTAAAGGAACACCACTGCATTCAAGTACAAAGAGAAAAAATATAGTAGCAAAAGAATTCACACAAAAACCAAAATGGCTATGAAATCTGGCTAAGTCAGAGCACTGAGTAAGGATGGAGGTTACTTTATATACAGAATAAACTTAAAAAAACAAAAACTGATCTGGTACCACTTTATAGACTAACAAAACATATAGATGGTTTCATGAGCTTTCATGGGCACAGCCCACTTCTTCAGATGACCGGAGTTTTGAGTTTAGGATGTGCAGACCCAAAATAAATAGGGGAGAAGGGGGAAGGAAAAAAGAAGTGGGGGCAGGAAACAAGAAGCAGAGGTTATGAAAAAATCAAAGGGAAAAACAGGAAGGCAGAAGGGTCATCAGTAAGCACCTGAAGATTGGTCAGTTAAAACGAAGCAGATAAGGATCAAAGTCAATAAATGGGGGGGGGGGGTACTTCCTGCTCCTGAGAGTGTGGACAATACCACCTGTCCCACTGGCTCTATTTGAATTAGGCCAGAGGTGAGTGCATAATGTTTAGCAAATATATGCTTGGAATACCTGGCTGCTACTTTGCAAATGCCTTCTAGCAGGACATTGTTCAGGAAGGCTGCGGTGGAAGCCACCGCTCTGGTGGAATGAGCTGTTATGACCAGGGGTAGTTGTTTGTTGTGAATGGTATAACAACTGTGTATGAGTGAAGAGATACATTTGGATATTTTCTGGTGGAGATGGCTTGTCCAAACTCTCATTGACTTTCTCCATGAGTTTGTCCTATCAAGGTAAAATGCAAGCGCTCATTGGATGTCCAGAGTGTGTAATGCTGCCTGAGTCACGTTATTATGAGGTTTAGGACATAATGCAGGTAAGTGTATGGGTTCTTTGATATGGAAGGGTGTGGGAACTTTCAGGAGGAATTTGGGGTGGGGTCTGAGCATTACTCTTTCCTTAGTGAAAACTGTGTACAGCGGGTCAGCAATTAAAGCTGCTATCTCCCCCACCCTCCTGCTGGAGGTAATGGCCACTAGAAAGGCAACTTTCATGGAGAGGTGTAACCAAGGTCAGGTTGCAAGTGGTTCAGAGGAAGACCTAGTTTAGCTTTTCAGGACATGATTAAGGTCCCACATTGGTATAGGTGGTCATACTGCAGGGAAAGTATTTTGAAGTCCTGTGAGAAAATGCTTAGTGACAGGATGTGCAAAAATGGGGGTGTTATCAACAGGCTTGTGGAATGCAGCAATCATAGTTGTGTGGACTTTTATTGTGCTGAAAGAGCCCTGATTCCCATAGTTCTAGGAGGTAGTCTAGTATGATTGGAAGAGGGGTAGTAGTGGGTAGGATGTTGTGCTTCTTCCTTACCCATTCAGAGAACCTTGTCCATTTGTATGTGTATGTCCTTCTGGTGGATTTTCTCCTACTGTTGATCAGAATTTGTTTTACCCTTTCCAAACAGGTTTTTTTGGCATCATGGAGCCATATAAGAGCCAAGCTCTGTGGTGGAGTTGGGATGTAGCATCTGGTAGTGAGACAGCAGATCACGACATGGGGGAATATCTCTGCAGGTAAGGGAACCAGGTCTGCCTGGACCATGATGGAGTGACTAGAAAGATCCGCACTTGGTCTTGTCTGATTTTTGTGATCACTCGGTGAATCAGAGGTAGTAGTGGGAATGCATATACAAGGAGGGCATCCCATTTTCAGAGGAAAGTGTCCCTTAGAGATCCTCTGCTCAGAGCAGCCCTGGAACTGAACTGGTGACACTTGTGGTTGGACTTGATTGCAAACAGATTTTTGTCGGGCTGGCTCCATTTGAAGAAGACCTTTCAGAGGGCTAACTCTCACTTGTGTCAGTCTGAAAAAATATGGCTGAAGTTGTCTGCCATGATGTTGAACACCGCAGGTAGGTAGGTTTCAGTGGGGTTAACGTGATGCTTGATGCACCAATTCCATAGTTTTATAACCTCTGTACTGAGAGAATTGGATCAGGCTGAGCTCTAACAGTTGATGTAACACATACATGTTGTATTGTCCATCATGATAGTGATTGTCTTGTGTGTAATGTATGGTAGAAAGTGGCAGCACAGGTATCATACCGCCCTTAGTTTGAGGAGGTTAATGTGGAGTGTCTGTTTGTGCTGAGCCCACTTGTCCTTTACTGTATGTATGAGCATTGAGATATGCCTCCCATCCTATAAGCGAGTTGTCGGTTGTAATGATAACCTTGGGGGCAAGTTGCTGGAAAGGTAATCCTTGCAACATGTTCTGTGGTTGTGTCCACCATTGTAACGAGGATATAACGTGTTGTAGTATAGTGACCATCTTGTGTGGGAAATCTCTGGAGGGGATATAAACAGTGGCCAGCCATGCCTAGAAGCATCTCATGTGAAACCTGGCTAACCTTACAACATATGTAGTGGCTGCTATGTGGCTGAGAAATTTGAGGCAGTCGCGCACTGTCATGATCAGCATTATCCACACCCACATTGAAAGCTATGAGAGCACTGAAGCTGTGCTTGGGTAGTGTTGCCCTGGCTATTGTTCAGTTCAGTCAAACATCTATACATTTGAGAATTTGCATGGTTGGAGTTTGGATTTCTGGTAAACTGATGTGGAACCCAAGTCTGAGTAAGAGTGAAATAGTTTTGTTGACCAGTTCTTGGGCATCTCAGAATGACATGCCTTTTAGAGGCAGTTGTCCACATAAGGGAATATTATTACTCCCATGCACTGAAGATGTGCAGTTACTACAGCTCAGGTCTTTGAAAAAACTCTTGGTTCCATTGAGAGACCAAACAGAAGGACTCAGTATTGGTAGTGATTCGTCCTGACTATGAAATGTAAAGTGTCTGTGTTCTGGATGGATCATTATATGGAAACAGGCATCCTGTAGGTTGAGGGCCGAGAGCCAATTTCCATGATTGTTGCTAGCATTACCATCTTGAACCTCTTGTATGTCATGTATTTGTTGAGTTTCCTGAGATCTAAAATAGGCCTCCATCCCCCCGTTCTCTTCTGGATGAGTAAATACTTCAAATAGAAACCTCTCCCTTCAAAGGCAGGAGGAAATGGTTCTATCGTTCCTATTTGCAGGAAGTGTTGGACCTCTTGTTGTAGAAGGACTTCATGAGAGGGGTCGCTGGGGTGGGGAGGAGGGATGGTTAGGGGGAACAGAAATGAAGGGAATGGAGTAGCCCAAATTGATGATCTCTAAGACCCAGCAGCTGGATGTTATTTCGATCCACTGCCATAGAAAGGACCAATGGATAAATTGGAGGTTGGACAGTGTTGTTGGTGTTGCAACAGGGATGTCTTTTGAGCTCTCAACTTTTGTAGTTGTTGTACCTGTCTCTTGTCAGGAGGTGTGTACATTCCAAGGGTCCTCAGAATTGTGTGAGAGGCCCTTCATGGAATGCAGGACTTTGTCTGTCTTGTTCACAAACAGGTTGGTCCTGTCAAAAGGGAGATCCTTAACTTTAAGTCATAGTTCTCGAGGAATTCCAGATGCCTGAGCCATGATGCATTACGATCATGGTAGCCTTGCTGAGGGCTGCAGTGTCTGTTACATTCATTGCCAGTTGCAGGCCAGTGCAGGCAATGGGTGGCGCTCTTGGATGATACTCTGGAGCTGGGGTCATTTCTGCTCCATGAGGAATTGTGAAAGCTCTTCTTTGAATAACTGGTGTAATAATAGTCAGCTAGTATTGTTAAGTAATTAGCTATTTGTGAATGTAGCATGGCAGCTGAACAGATCTTCCTTGCCCAGGGTATCTAGCCACTTATGATCTTTGTACTGGGGAGTGGACCTGAAGTGCGGGTTTTACACCTTGTGTTGAACTGAATCTACGACCAGGGAATTGGGAGGGGGATAGGAAAACAAAACATCCATTCCTTTGCCTGGCACAAAGTACTTTCTGTCTGGCCTTTTGTTCATAGGCATGTTCAGCTTGCATTGGCAGGATACAGGATAGCCTCATCCATGGGAAGTGCAATCCTTGAGGATGTAGCTGGCTGTAGGATTTAGCTGGTTGTTTCTCTTTGACCTCCAGGAGGTCCAACTCCTCCACTGACACCATTCTCTTGAACAACTCCTGGAATTGTTTGATTTCATCTGTTGGAGGTGGAGTGGTCTGTATTATAGCCTCATCTAGAGAACAGGACGAATTGTGGGGAGAGATCTGACTTTCCCCTCTGAAAGGAAATCTTCTTCCTTGGATTGATGATGATCCAGGCAATCCGGAGCCATGTTACATGGTGCATGCTGTGGGGAATGTGGTGGTCTCTTGGCTAGTGTTAAGGGAGCAGTATGTTGGATTCTGTGGGTCAACCATGTGTCCCAGAGGAACCACTTGCCAGGGTATAGTGGTGGCAAGTACATGGTGCCCGTACCAATGTGATGGTGGTGGCATATTGGGATGGTCTTGCTGAACATGACTCCTAAGGTGGATACCTCTGCATGGGTGAGGAGGACCTGTAGCAGCTGTGTTGGAGAGCAAGGCCTATCTGAGAGAAATGATGTTGGAGAGCAAGGCAAGTGAATGGAACGTACTAAAGATGCCGGTGAATGTAGAGCCAACAATAAGTGCTCTGTGGGTGCCATGGAATGCTTTGAAAGTTCTTTGCGTGGAACTGTTCTAGTCTGCGCAGATGTCGGTACCAATAGTGCCACAGATGATGTCAGTGACGGTGCCCTTGGCAGGGGCATATCAGTGCAAACCTCTTCAGTGCCATGGAATGCTTTGAAAGTTCTTTGTGTGGAACTGTCCTAGTCTATGCCAATGTCTGTACCAATGGTATGACAGATGATGTCCGTGATGGTGCCCAT